GAGCTGCAGCTGCAGCCCCTGCCTCCCTTCGGCAGGCTCAAGAGGCACACCCGTAGTACATAGGAGGTTCCCATGCACTTCACGGGTAGGTAGTGTTCAGTAGGCACAAGTAGTCTTCAGGATTCGGCCGCAGCACTCAGGAGCAGCGCTGCAGTAGTCTTCAGCGCTAGGCAGTAGTGGTAGCGCTAGCTGTAGTCTTCGGCGCTGGGCGCCATAGCTGTAGCTGTAGTCTTCACCGCTGGGCGCTGGTAGGTAGTAGATCGTAGAGTGGGAGAGAGACTGGCGGAGGCCAGTGTTACTTACCTGTGGCGCCATCGCTCCAGCTCCATCTTCGTGGTACCTGCATCAAGGCGCCAACTTCACAGGTTAGTACTGGACACAGCGAGAGAGAGAGAGTTCTTCTTCTTCCTCTTCTAAGTCCACCTTCTCTTCTCACCCTCTCGCCACCTGACTTCTCAGACTACGACAGAGCGAGATAGAGTTGTGACTTGAGACTTGACGACATTGGATCCAGACTTGACATTTGGGATTCAGACATTCCGACGAGGGACTATTTGGGCTTGTGCCGAAGACTTGGTGTTGACGACATTCCCATCTTCCCCCCCTCTTTGTCTATCCCCTTCCTCTTCGTCTGTGTATGGTATGGGCTGGCGCAGTCTTCCTGTGTGAAGCGCCAGGTCCATTTCACACCATGTAACGATAATGATGATGTATGTTCAGGGCTGCATTTCAACATTGATTGTTCGGATCAMTGGTATCTAAGTCTTCCGTTGTGCTATCTTATACTTTGTATTGAAAGGTCGGTTCTTGTTCTGGTCTGCACGTTACAGTATGCAACAGTTTGGTATCGGAGCGGACCTCTCATTCAGAGGACCCGCTCAATCAAGTAGCCAGCTTGCGAGCTATTGATCACTCATTAGTAACGCAAGTAGGACTTAGTCAAATCTCTGAAATTTTTTTCTCGCAACAACTATCTGAAATTTCTGATATTCGCATATTCGTTCTATCTGAAAATTTCTGATATTAGTAGTTCGTTTTTACGTAACAAATATCTGAAAATTTCTGATAAATCGCATTTCGTCTTGCCTAAAAATTCCCGATAGTAGCATTTCGTTTCTCTGATATTTCGCATACATAGCTGAAATTTCTGAAGTTGGTATTTTCGTTCTTTAGGCATATTGGGATAACGAGAAGTGGTCATATTCTCGGAAACTGAAACTATTCTTTTCTGAAAATCGCATTTCCATCCTATCTCGCAAATTTTTTTGAAAACCGAATCTTGCGAAGTCTACCAATATTGCGTTAGGCATATTCGGAGGTTGGTATATTATCAGAAACTGGATTTCGTTCTTTTCTGAAAATCGCATCTTTACTCCATTTCGCAAATTTTTTTTTTCAAATCGCAGTTTGTAAAAGCCAAAACTTTGCGGCACCTAGCCTAGATCTCGTTCATAATACTCTTCTGACATATCCTACTCATCATAAATCGACAGATATATACAAAAAAAAAA